TCTCCTCTCCTCTCCTCTCCTCTCCTCTCCTCTCCTCTCCTCTCCTCTCCTCTCCTCTCCTCTCCTCTCCTCTCCTCTCCTCTCCTCACCTCACCTCTCCTCTCCTCTCCTCTCCTCTCCTCTCCTCTCCTCTCCTCTCCTCTCCTCTCCTCTCCTCTCCTCTCCTCTCCTCTCCTCTCCTCTCCTCTCCTCTCCTCTCCTCTCTTCTCCTCACCCTCCCGTGTGTGTGTGTGTGTGTGTATAAAAACCCTAGTGCTTACCGCTAATATTCAGAAAGCTGGGTTTACCAAAACTAGAGTGATTGATTTTGTGCATATGGAACTTTATTTTTAAAAAATAGTTTGTCACCTTTTTCTCTGAAGCTTCATTTTAAAAGCAGAGTATTCAGAGGAAGCTCTGTTTGGGGATCTGGTAAGTCTGCTGGTGCCAGAGGAGCAATTATTCCCTGAATCAGATATAAATGTGGCTCTGGAAGAGAATTAAGAAGAGGAACACTATCCTTATCTATGTATTCACTTGTTTGGATCCAGGAGGGATTTTGAAATCTTATGATGCAATTTTTAAAAAACACAAGTAGAAAGTTACCATGTAGATGTGTTACTGTGTTTTTTATTTTATATATTTTGTGTTTTATTGTAAATTTCTTTTATTTGATGATATCTTGGAAATTCAGAACATATCCTGCTAGAGGTTTTTCTAAAGCTGTAGAGTATGCAATGAATTAATGATGTGCTATTTGTTTTATAAGCCCATATTGATATTTCAGGGGAGAGAGAGAGAGAGAGAGTCTACCTTTGCCAAATAATTCCTCAGATTATTTGATTGACAAATAATCAAGTTTATAGAGATATACTGGGCCAGAGAGATAACACAGTGGGTCAGGCTCTTGCCTTGCATGTATCTGACCTGGATTTGACCCACAACACCCCATGTTGTCCCCAAAATCTGCCAGAGTGATCCCTAAGAACAGAGCCAGGAATAATCCCAGAACACATCCAGGAAACAGAAAAGCAGCCAAAACAAAATTTTCCAATGACATGTATGCATCCTATATACATGGGAGAAGAGCAGTGTTGGAAAAAATAGCATTTAATGGTGTTGAAGAGATAGTACAGCTGGTAAAATGTACTAGATAAACGGGTTGCATCAAATTAGGTTACTTTGCAGGCATCTGACCTAGGTTTGATTCCTGTGATCTCTTAATGCAGAGTGAGGAGTAAAACCAGAGCACCTGTAAGTGTGACCCCAAAACAAACAAGCAGAAAGGAGCATTTGAACATTTTGTGAACATATTTTTAACATTAGTTACATTATATTTTTTGTATCTTTGGGCCACTCCTGGCTGTGCTTAGGGCTTACTTCTGGCTCTATGTTTAAGGATCATTCCTGGTGGGCTTGTGGGTGGGAGGACAAGCACATATGGGGTGCCAGGGATCAAACCCAGGTCAGCAGCATGGAAGGCAAGTGACTTACCCCCTATAGCTTCTTTATCTTGTGAAATATTTTAAGGGACACATGAAAACTCAACAAGCTCTAAATCTAATAGACAGTTTGTTGGTTGGAACTGGAAGCAAAGTACAGAGCATCCATCTAAGGAAGTAAGATCAACGATTATAAACTATGGTCCAAGAGCTCTGGCATCAAAATAGCATCATCCAGCAGGGAAGTAAAACAGGCAAACCTTTAGCATCATTGCTTTTTCTCACTGCTTATTTACTGAACAAATAAAAATCCTATGAGTTTATTGTTGCCCTTACAGTGTCATAATGACTAAAAGTCACCATTTTCAGTAATTCCTGACATTCCATCCTTTGCCACTGGAGGTCATTTCTTGATTATGGTTAAGTAATTAACTTCCTTCCATATTGTATCATCACGTCACTGGACTTCATTACAAAAAAAGGTATGAAAAGAAGACCCTTGCTCCTAGGCCAATCAAAATGTTTCTAGGGAGAGAGACATACAATTCAATAAGGGGTTATTCTATCTTCATATTCACAGTAGCCAGCAATAACAGTCTATTTGAATAATGATTAATGTAGAATGTTACATTAACTTCATTAAAAGCTTCAAAGTCATGAAAATAACAGACTTACGTCATTAATTAGACACACGTCAAAGAGTTTTAGACAATCTTGCTTGGATTTCACATTTACAGATTGCACAAGATAGAACTGGACTTACATTTAAACAGTCTACATGGTATATTATTTCAGAGCATGAAAGTTGAGGTCAGAAATCTGAGTTGCGCACAGACTCTGTCATTTATTACTATGTGACTCTGGACAAATTATCCTCTTGGTATTTTGTTTTTCTTATCTCAGGGCCTCACATGTAATACATTCTCAGAAAATGTGTGCCTTTCAATATTGGAGGGTTAGTCAAGACTAAGAGAAGGGGAAGGGAGGTGGGGAGAAAATGCATTTATATCCCTGCTCCCTCCCTGCTGGACTGAAAATCCACCATTGAAGGCTGGAGAGAGAGAGAGAGAGCAGGAGGTGGTGAGAAGGAAGGGTAGAGAAATTTTCTAATGCATAAAAGGTCATCTCCATCATGGCAGAGTGAGCATAGGAACTATAGATCACTGTAGCACTGTCCTCCCATTGTTCATCGATTTGCTCTAGTGGGCACCAGTAAAATCTCACAACAAATTGTAAGACTTGTTGTTACTAGGGAAATATTTATTGGCTACAGTGGGCAGTTTTATTTGAAGGTTTTTATAGTAATGTTAATAGATGTTTATGTCCTACTTGCGATGGAAAACTCCTGGATGATCCAGGTAACTGGATCAGGGTAACTCAGAGGATTCCCCTAAGAAGGAGGTACTGGGGAACGAGTCAGAGAATGAGATATGACATGAAGCATGTTATTATTATTATGGGGAAAGACCTGAAGATGTTATTCTGGGGTCTTGAAGATGAGTGATGGAACCACAAACAAAGAAATGTAGCTGAACCATGTATAGTGAGATTAGGTATGGAGTCTAAATTGATGGGGAGCAAAGAATGTGCAGCCTCACGGAGGAAACCCTACATTGTGGCAGGGGCATGAATATAGAATTGCTCAGAAACCTGTTGAATCTGAGAAAATATACTTTTTTACATTCTAATTGTTAATATCATTAATGAAACATCTACATATGTATGCTCATGTGCATATACAGGAAGGAATTAGAGATAGCTTAAAAGTATCTATGAGTTATTTTTCTTTTTGTTGCTTCCTGGATTCACCATGGTCTATACCACCGACAATTGCAGAAAACTTAAAGCATGCAACTTGTGACTGTATCAACATGGGGATAAAGTAGTTGAGTGTAAAAATATACTGATTAGCAACTATGTGACTATACATATGTATGTAAATTGTAACTTATCAACTTCTGGTTTTGGAAGGAGATGAGGGACACCCAGGAATGCTCAGGGCTTACTCTTGGCTCTGGGCTCAGGAGTGACCCCTGGCATTTCTCAGAGAACCATATGTAGTGGGAGGGATTTGAACTGGGGTAGTGGCTGCCACATGCCAGGCAAGCGCCTTATCTCCTGCTCTACTCCTCCAAGCCTTAATATCATGTTGAAAGTTTTATTCTCATCTTTTTAAGGTATGTAAAAAGCTTTTTTGATCATTTCTGCATCAGTGGCTGTTGCTTTGATAAAATGAAGAAGATATCATTTTAATATTTAGTAAATTGTTTGGATTTTGCACTCTAACAATAACAAAATGAGAACAAGCACCAAAAACTCTGAGTCAGAGAGCTTATTATAGGTCGAATAAGGGCAGTAACAGTAGCTGATAAGTTAAATCATCCATTGGCAGTAAAATTGCTCAAAAGTTACCACTGTTTAGATTATCAGAAATTTCCTGAGTAATGGAAAGGGGATGAAAAACCAGCAGCTCTTTATTAACTCTCTTTTCACAAAACCTGACTATAAATAAAAGCTTTGCTTGCTAATAATCATTTCTAAATAATCTTCATAAAACATCAATATCTGACCATCTAAATCAACCTAAACATGTTTGGCTATCCCTATTTTTAATGACAAAATGCTAAATTATCTAGTCCTCACTAGGAAGTATGCAAGCAGTATGCAAAATAAAACAAAATAAAATAAAACAAAAACACATTGTACAATTGAATAATGATGGTCTACTGGAGCAATCTTTAGTAAAGCTATGAATCAGGCTATTTTTATTTTACAGGAAGTTTCAGTAACTTAATTTCTCACCATTGCAACTCCCCTCAATCCCCCCTGAGAGTCCAGCTGGTAAAATATCCGACCATGGCTTAGCATTTGGAAAATCTTAGAAGATGCTATGATTCAACTTTTTTTCTAAGTTGACTGTAACAGCATCACCATTTTTCCCCCCTAAGTTCCTTCTTCAAAATTATTATCTATGCAGAAGTAAAGGCACACTATTATGTATTTTTAAATGTGTGAAACTCACGGAGTAATCGTTCCCTTCTCAGCTTCAGAATACTCCTCGCCCAGGGTACTCAGAGAGGAACACTACAGGACAAGGGGCGGTTGGGGTCTTGCTTGTCTCCTTCAGTATCAGAAAAGAACTCATCCACAAGGAAAGGCAACAAACCTCACTCCTGGGCGACGTGAAGGTTGGATTCTGCACCTAAATCAGATGCCCTCTCCTCCCGCTTCCCAATGGGGGTGCACCCAACCAACTCCTAAAACACGGCGTCTAGTGTCAAAATAACTTGAATGGGAAAAGTCCCCTCGACCTTAGAAACTTTGCACCACTCTTCTCTCCCACCCAGTGGTTGGCGTGGAGGGCTTTGCCAGCACCTCAGAACTAATTGATCCCAGAAGGGAAAACGGTCACCCTCCTTCCCGAACTCCAACCTGCGCAGACCTCGGGAGCCGGGGAAAGTGGGTCAGACCTCCTGCCCCGTCTCGGGGGCCACTTTTTTTTGCCTCCGTCCTAGCCCTCTTATGAACCCCTAACCCCGCGCTCGCAGCAGATGCGTAGAGTCCCTCTGGATCACTCACCCGTGAAGAGCCAGCAGCAGGCGACAGCGACCTCTGGGCCGGCGCGGCGTCGAGGGGCCATGGTGGCAGAGGGCACCGTGCCCGGGGACGTGCGCACCGGGGCGCTGGAGCTGGCGGGACCGGGCGCGGGAGCCGGGCGTTCTGCTGCTGGCCACTCCGCCGGCCGCCGCGGGGCCGAGTCTGACCCGGGTCTGAAGAGGCGCCCAGAATCCGCAGTGATTTCCTGTGTTTTCCAGAGTCTCTTAAGACCGCTGCACGCTTTTCACATCCCAGAAGGATTGCCACATCTCCCGCCCCTTCGCGCTCCTGGGCTCTGAAATGCCACTGGCAGACTCCCAGGTCCCGTCCGAGACATGGACAAATAAAGCCAGCTACGCCAGCCCGTGTTTAGGCTAAAGTCCGCGAGCAGAAAAGCCAACCTTAAAGGGACATCTGCCTTTCATTGAGAGGGGGATCCCGCTCTCCACGCTACTCCCCAAGGTGCCTGGGAGGCGGGCGAGGGCGGCACCTCGGGGAGGGCGTCTGAAGCGCGCTGGCTCCGCCTTCACACCCGTGTATGCTGCGCGTCTGAGAACTAGAGCACTTTGGAAGAGCTGCCGTTCTTGGTCCTTCCAGGAAAGGGAGAGCTCCTGGGGTCCGAAGGACCAGTAGGAAACCGACCCTGAAAACCAGGAGAGAACGAACGTGCCCTTTCCTGTCCAGCGATCGCTGGAATTTCGGGTTCAGTCGTCTCGCCAATAGTGGAGAGAGGAAGGCGTCCTCTCCCTCCAATGCTCTAGGACTGCTTTGCTTCCTTTTACAGAAGATTTGCTTCATTTGTGCGGATGCAATGTTGCTGATAAACTCTTTGCTGGGAAGACGGTGATTAGTGGGGCGGGCGAGGGGAGTGAGAAAAGCAGAGAAAGAGAGTGCTTGGGAGAAGAAGGAGGGAGGGACCAGAGGAAAATAGTCTTCTTAGGAATGGAATGTGTGTGGGCTATTTTGTTTAAGCTGGGTTAGGATGCTACTCACGGGGATTGGATTTAATAAAGGGCATGGGGTGCTGCTTTATTTCTCTCGGAGTTTTATATGGAAGAGTACTAAATTTTGTCCGGCTAACTCCTTCCTCCAGCAATCCCACTACTCCAGGGAACAGAATTGGAACGCTAGGTGACTGTCAATATATTGGGGTTTGGTATTCTTCCTTGGGATACCGAAGCCAGAAGAAACAGGAGTTTGCAAGTGCTTCACATGTGCAGTGAGTTAGTTATACTAGCTCCCATGGTTGAGAGTTTCACTAAATATTTGCTATTAATTTTAAAGTAGCTGTTTATTAGTGGTTTGGGGAATTTCAAAGACAGGAAAGAGGTAGAAGAGTGGATTTGTGTTTACAAGTAATGGAGGAAACGAATTCCATTCGATTCCTTTCAACTTAATCCAATTCAACCCAATCCAATCTGATCCAATCCAATCTAGTCACTGATCGAATATCTCAAACTGGCAGGGCTAGGGCTCAGCAGAACAAGAGTGCCACCCAAAGGAGGACTCACTGCCTTAGAACACAGTTTAGCTGGCATTGCATAGATAGCCCAAGGGAAAGGTTGGGGCGAGTCCCCAAGGATGGCTGAATAGATTGCCAAATAGATTACTGGGGTAACAGTTGGAGGGAAACAAAACTGAAGTGTAAAATTTGGGTGGGTAGGGCAAAAGTTATCAAAGCTTAGTAACATGACCCATCAGTCAAGAGTTTCCTCTTCTAATCTATGTATTTGAAGTGGTTGATTGCTCAGTAAATATCTTAGACATCCCACTTACTCCTGTTTTCAGCTTTCACCTTTTCACTTCTTAGTCCTAGCTTCAAAATTGAATAGGTCCGTAGAAAACTCATGTTATGTTGGATAGCAGTTCAATAGTCTTAGATGTTACCTAGAATTCTTTGATCTGTGTTCCATACTCTTATATTCCAGTTTGACATTCCATGCTCTCTATCATTTTATTAACCAATCATTATCACCCTACCTCTTATTGGTTCCGTCCATGAAAAACTTTTAACCTGGAATGACTTCCTTGTATATTTTTCATCTCCCTATTTATGAGCTTAATTATTTGCTATACCTCTCAGTAACAACTTGAGAACTTTGCATAATAATCAATAGTATGGATTGATAGATTAATATTTTGACATTCAAAAATAATACTTTTCCCCAAATGTTTCTTTAATGCTCAGTTTTCAAAGAATAAATAATAGCATGATTCTCTATAAAAATACAGTATATAACTGGAGTCCTTAGAAACTTTAAATATATTGAATAAGAAGAAAAGGGAAAGTATAAAAGTTATATCTAAATAAACTGTTTATAACATAATCAAGGTTATATTACTGGGAAAGTGACCTTTCTTTTTTATTAATGAATTTTTGAATTGAACTTTTTTATATCCTCTAAGACTTGCAAACTAATGGTAGTGATCACTAGCACTATCGTGATTAAAGTTATTTTCATATGTATCGTGAATCAGTATATATGTATTATGGCAATTTATTTATCTTCACATAAAACCAAAGCAAATGTAGAGATGAGAAAACAACAGTTGATGGAGAACTAAATTTAGAATAAGTGAACAACTTCTGCACATCTATAAATCTAAATATATTAATATCTGGCAGACGTTTTATTTTTTGAATTTTAATTTTTTTTGTTTTGGGACCATACCCAGCGATTTTCAGGAATGACTCTGTGCTCCATGCTCAGGACACTGCTGGCAGGGTTCGAGACCATTTATGATGCCAAGGATTGAACTTGGGTCAGCTGCAGGCTAAACAATTGCCTTACCTGTGTAATGACCATGCAACTAGGAAATCCTGGCAGCCTTCTCTCGCCACCTGCATTAGGTGGTCTTGGGCCACTTCTTCACCTGGGACAGCTCATGCCATGCTTAGATGAAGGAAGAAACGAGGGCCAGGCTGGTTGGTGATCAGTTGCCTTTATTCCATTCTCCCCTTGTGCCTATTCCAGTCTCACTAAACTCCTCATTCCCATTTCCTCCTGTCTCTCCTGCTCTCCATGCTCCAATTCACCACCTTGGTCTTTCTCTACTCTCTCTGTATCTCCCCGCAGCATTTGGGGTAGCAACTAGACACCCAGGTCCTATAGCTCAATCAACATATGAAAGCCCTTCCTGATCACCTATAACTAGGGTAACAGGCTCAAGGACAAATACAACCTAGAGGTTTTTCTCCTTTCCTTAGTCCAATAACTTAATTAACATCTCAATTCTGTGTGATTGTAGCTCAAACATGAAGGCTTCTAACTATATCTCATGGTGATTCAATAAAAAAATTAATTCTACTTCTTAATATGTTATTTTGTATGGACACAGTAAGAGATACATTAAGCTTATAGGATGACTCTCCTGCGGACATCTTGCTATAGATCTCAGACTACAGTGCTCAGGCCAGATTAATCTTTCCTAACCCTAGCAGGGTCCTAATCTAGTAGTTACTTTTTGGATCATGACAGAATTTGCCCATGACTACGCTCTTAATTTATAGTTAAGTATTATGGTGCTTTGGCCTGGCCCATTTCGATGCCAGGGTAGTTAAGAGATTGCCCTGTGTCCATCCAGCCCCTCACTGGGACCCCACTTTTGGGGTGCTAGGAAGTAAGGGCAACTGAGGCTTAAGTTGAGAGAACAGATGCCCTGGAATGAATATTATTTAAAGTCAATTAACTCCCAAATTAGAAAAGCAGAGCATTAACTTCTTGTGTCTATACAGAAAGAACATTGCTCTGAATTAACTATGCAAAGGACTTAAGTGTAGGATAACATTGCCACAGGGAGCTTAGGTTTATCGGTTACACCCATCACAGTGCTCCTGAGTCACTCCCATTCCTCTGTATTTATCTGTAAACTCTTCTCTGTGCTCTCCTCCCCAGTCGGCTGATCACCTTTTTCCTTAATCAGATTCTGTAAGATCAGATCCTTTTAGAACATTGAACTTGTATTGTAAGTTAAATATTGCTTTTCTCGTCTTTTGCATAGTTTACCTTAAAGCAATGTCCTTTCTGTATGGACACAGGAAGACAGTTGATATTATGCTTTGTAATGTGGGAGTTGATTGACTCTGAATAATATTTACTCCTGGGCATCTGCTTTCTTGACTCAGTTGCCCTTAGTTCCTAGCACCCCAAAAGCAGGGTCCCAAAGAGGGACTAAATGGACCCAGGACAAGCTGTGAGCTACTCTGGCATCGAAATGGGCCAGGCCAAAGCACCACGATAGTAAACTATAAGTTGAGGGCATGATCTTGGACAAATGCTGTCATGATCCAAAAGTAAGTAACAACAAGACTAGGACCCTGCTGGGGCTAGGAAGACTAACCTGGCCTGAGGACTGTGGAATACATAGTGAGATGTCCTCAGAAAGAACCAAACTGTAAGTTTATATCTCTTCCTGTGCTCTTACAGAATGACATTGCTAGATATATTGGAAGTAGATTTACTACAGCTATTTAAGTAGATTACTAGCTCAGGAAAGAACACACCCTTGTTGGCATCCCACCCTTGGAGATCTCCTAGTAATCTGGATTAATCTCTTTAGATGAGATTTTATCCTTGAGTTAATCTCCTCGAGGAGTGGTCTTACCTCTTTGTTGATTAGTTAATGTTCAACCTACCTTTGTGTCACCACCCTACGTGATTGCTATATAAACTAAGACTGTTAGGGCTGAGGCGGAGACGGAGATGGAGACTGAGGCTCAGGCTCAGACTCAGACTCAGGCTGGGGCTCAGGCTGGGGCTGGGCTTGGGTTCCAGAGGGCAGAGTCAGAGGTGAGAGGGGTTCAGGCTTGAGAGAGAGAAGCAGAAGGGGAGTGAAGATTGGAATAAACTACAATTGATACTGACCAGCGTGGCCCTTGTTTCCTTTCTCTGTCTGCTCGTCACCATCGACCTCCCCGGGTTCAGGGAAACAAACGAGACTACTGAACGCAGGCGGCAGGAGAGACAGAGCGCTGCTGGACTTTTGAAAACACACACTTAAGAAGAGAAAAACAATATTTACAAGTTAACAGAGTCTGATTAGGAGATAAAGGTAATTGACAGGTTGGGGAAAGAGAGCACAAGAAAGAGGCTACAGAAGAATGGGAGCACTGTGATGGGAGTAACCCAATAAACCTAAGCTCCCTGTGGCAAGGCAGAAAGGACAAACCAATGTTATCCTACACTGACTCTTATACTATTGAACAGGCTCAAGCAAGCTGTATTTAAAAAAGTTAATGGTGGGGTCACACCTAGCATTGCTTGCTAGACACCTGTGTTGTTTATGACTCATGCAATTCCAGGGCATGTACTCTACTAGTTGAAGTGCATAACCGATCATGATCATGATCATGACCATCCTGTTATTCATCGATGGCCTCGAGCAGGCCCCAGTAACGTCTCCTTCGTCCTAGCCCTGAGATTTTTAAAAAGTGCCATATTCCAGGCTCTTTCAGAGTTAGGAGAATGAGACCCATCATTGTTACTGGTATATGGCATA